GCTGAAAAACTGAAGAAGGGAGGTTGTTTGGAAGTTAATACTTCCTTTCTGATGGGTGGTAACAACTGAAAAACAGTTTGATAAGCTTAGGGAAGGCAACAGGCTAACAATCATTCCAGTTTTCCTGGGGCTGAGGGTTTCCCAGAATGCAAGATTTCCAGTGCTAAAACCTGGACACTTCCTTATGGACTTGCTATCAACACACACACACACACACACACACACACACACAAATTCCACATAATCCTCCCCCCAAATGACACAACACACTTTTTTTTTTTGTAGATAAGAGTCTCACTATGTTGCCCTCCTAAGAGATTCTCAGAAATTCCTGAAGACATTTTTCAGTTTGATAACAAATAATAATAAAGTACAAAAAATGTGCAATGCATTTTAAGGAATTTTTAAGGAAAAAAAATTTATACTCCATAATATTACTCTGAGCGACTGCAAGAAAACTTACATTAGCAGTCAGAAAGAATAAACTAAGATGTTCTAAGAAATAAAACTGGGGTTGTGGTGACTTTGGTCTGTATCGTTCTTATTTAATCTCCCAGTTTTACAAGTAAGCAATGAAAATGAAGAGGACTTACTGGATGACAGTTGTTACTTACAGCTTTTGGGAAGAGGTCACAGCTGAATCAGTCTGTTTATCTTTCATGGGAGGTGTTAATACCTATCTTGTAGTTCATTTTCTTTTAACCCAACACTTTTAGCTCAACCAAAGATTACAAGGATGGTGGAGAATGATGGGCCAGTGTCTGCAAAGAGGCCAGTTAGATGATGAGGCTGCCTTAAGCTGCGAAGCACTGATGCCCTAGAATCTGGGAAATTTAAGCATTATCTCCTGACACCAATCCTTTGTGAGAGCCCAACAGAGGCCTCCCTTGTCTTGAGTGAGGGCTGGCTACTTATTCTTGAACACTTTTGAGCACTTCTATTCAAGAGGGAATGGAATAAAGCAGGGGACAAGTCCCCATCCTCCTCTACTCCCACCTGATATGTCACTATCCTTTCCACAATGAGATGAAGGCACTCAGAGTTTTGAGGAAAGATGGATGGACATTCACACTTACATACCGGCCCTTCCACCAAGCTGCCATATTCTGGTGGAGGCAGGGGGGTGTCTCTGGGACATTCCCCTCACACGGAGGCTCTTGCAATTCCCAGGCCTCTCCAGTGGCTCTCTTCTTTTCTTTTCTTTCTTTCTTTCTTTTTTTTTTTTTTTGAGACAGAGTCTCACTCTGTGTCCTGGGTAGAGTGCTGTCACAGGATAGCTCACAGCAACCTCAAACTCATGGTCTCAAGTGATCCTCTTGCCTCAGTCTCCCTAGTAGCTAAGACTACAGGCACCTGCTACAATGCCTGGCTAATTTTTTCTATTTTCAGTAGAGATTGGGTTGTGCTCTTGCTCAGGCTGATCACAAACTCCTGAGCTCACATGATCCTCACATCTGGGCCTCCCAGAGAGCTAGGATTACAGGGGTGAGCCACCTTGCCTGGCTAGCTCTCTCTTCTTCCAAGCCTGGAAGCGAACTGTGGGACCCATTCACCTCTACTTTTCTAAATCCCTCAAATTCCTGTCTTACCCTGGTATGTCCAGGAGTCCCCTCTATGTTTGTTTAAAGAGTTTGAGTTACAAACAAGATAAGACAGCACATGCTATTTAGAAAGTTTCTGAAAGGGAAGGAAGGAAGGAAGGAATTGTTACATGAAGAAGAAATATTAAAAGGCTTTTTAACTGACCTTATGGGCAGTGCAGTTTTTTTTTTTTTTTTTTGAGACAGAGTCTCACTTTGTCACCCTTGATAGAGTGCTGTGGCATCATAGCTCACAGCAACCTCAAACTTTTGGGCTCAAGAGATGGGGTCTTGCTCTTGCTGGGGTTGGTGTCCAACCTGTAAGCTCAGGCAATCCACCTGCCTCAGCCTCCCAGAGTGCTGGGATTACAGGCATAAGCCACCACCCGGCCAACAGTACAGTTTCATAACATAATAAAAGTATTAAAAACAAGGTTCATAAACCTCTTTATTTTTCCTCAGTTGGCCCCTGAACAAACCAGCTGGTCACCACTGGTCTGTAGAATCCAGCCTGTGCAGAGGGATTTGAAACAAATTCACTTTGCTCACATTGTGAAACATGCAGTATCATATTTTGTGTCATTTTTGCCTACTTTGTGTCATATATTTTCCACAGAACTTTATTTATTACAAACTTCTCTATAAATCTCCATGGTCTGCTCATTTCATTTAATACTTAGGTAATGTACACTGTTTGCACACCATCAAATATAAGCAGTAAAGACAAGATAGCTGGCTGAATTGTCCCTCAAATAATAGAGATTTGTGTTGTTTTTACTCCTTTAATGTTATAATTAATGTACTTATCTTCCCTTTACTTCTGGAGAGATAATGATTTTATTTCTCTAATGTTGTTTCTTCTTTGTACCCAAATAGGTAGGCTTGGTTCCTTTTTGTCTTTGTTGTTGTACAAAAAAAGATTTCTTGAATCAAAAAAACATAGTAAGTTTTATGGTAGCTCCTGGCTTTTGCCTTTGGAAACTTTAAAGCAGCAGAAAAGAGGAAGTTTGAGTTAGTACAGTGACTTTTATGTTTAAAAATTCTATTTTTTAATTTGATAAATTATCAGGTATGTACCATTGACTTTTTACCCCTACATAAGTTATATCAGTACTTCATACTGCAAACAATTCCAGAAGAGTCAGGAGGGGCTCTCAGTATAGTAAGCACAGAGCATAATAATAATAGTTGAGAACACTGTACCTTTAAAAAGTTGAGAGCTACCGCTGACCTATTACTTCTAAAACATGTCTCTCTGAAGTCATCTTTCCTCTTTGCTGGGCTAGAGCTTTATGGATTACCTTGGGGTGATCAAGGGCCCCAGTTTTGCTGAATCCATGTTTAGATATTCAAGGGTGGCTGGGTGTGGTGGCTCACACCTATAATCCCAGCATGCCGGGAGGCTGAGGCAAGAGGATTGCTTGAGCTCAGGAGTCTGAGATCAGCCTGAGCAAGAGTGAGACCCTATTTCTACTAAAAATAGAAAAACCAGCTATTCAGGAGGCTGAGGCAGGAGGATCACTTAAAGCCAGGAGTTTGATGTTACTGTGAGCTAGGCTGACACCATGGCACTGTAGCCTGGGCAACAGAGTTTTGGGAAAAAAAGGTAAATCTCCAAGGGTGACCTTTCTGAGGAGGGGATATAAACCCATGACATGATCTGGTTGGCAGACTTGAATTTCCACTTTGTAAAGCAGAGTGCAAGCCTGGTCAGAATGGGACATAGAGGAGGTGATTTTAAGTGGCGCTGGGGTGTGGACAAGGAAATACAGACTGGGGTGATTCTTAGGAAGGAAAGACCTGGATGGGGACTGTGCCCAGAGAGCCTTGGACACAGCATTCCAGACACTCAGCCAGCCTTGGATGCAGCATTCCAGACACCCAGGTAGTGGATACAAGAGCAGAATAAGAAAGAGTGATGAAAAAGATCAAAGGAACAAATGGGAAATCTGATCTTCCCTGAGCAACCAGTGGCAATTTTATGAATCTCTGCTCCCTCCACGAATGTAGAACACGGAAAGGGCTTCCACTCTGGTTTGACTGGCTTTGGGGAAATGCACAGAAAAGCCAAAGGGACATACTTCTGTGTGGAGAGTCAAGTCTTGCTAGGTGCCAGTGAAGGCCACCAAATCCTTTGGCTAAGCTTATCTCTGCAACTGTGTAGCACTTGAGCCCTGCTCAGCACATCTGAGGACAGTGTGGTATGACTGGGACCAGGGCTGGCAGATTCTGGAGAGGCCTCCCTTTACCCTGCCATATAGAAGACTGTGTACTTTGGATACAGAATCAAGGACAGATACTGGTAGGATGGACTTCTAACTTGTCTGTGGCTACTTTTTGACCAATTTAGTCCAAGTGAGTTACCCTCCACCAGCTGGCACTTGCCAGGACAAAGTTGCTGCTGCTCTAGAAAATTTAATTGTCAATTGTTTGGTTGGGGGCTGTACTGACCTCAGTGTTACAGAATGTTTCTCTCTGAAGGCCTTGATGTGGAATTCCCTACAGTTGAGGCTATTGGAATACCTTCAACGCGGCTTCAACTGGAACAGAGCAGGTAATCCAGATGCGTGGTCAGCTGGGAGAAAGGAAAGGGCGTTGATCAAAACTGGACAGTCAAGAAAGAGGCCTGAGGGTTTGCCATAGGTGACAGAGTTTTTAAAAGTCGGTTTAAAATAAAACACTTCCAATCCAAAAGGCCCACGAATTATTCAGATGATGTCCAAAAGGCATTCTCTCAGCAAACAATGAAGTCATCTTAGAGGATGAGGCCCGCTCGGCCACGTGGGAAAGAGGACACGGCAGCCAAGGTTCCCCCCACGGCCCCGCTCTCCTCTCAAGTCTCAGCCTTCTATTCTCTAGTTAAGGAAGGACCCAGGTTTGGGGCCCCACATCTCCAGTTGCACTTCTGCCCACGCCAGTTGTAGGATTTTTTCTGTGGAGAAAGTGCTGCTTCTCCATAGGCAAGATTCCCTTCTCAGAATCTGACAGCCCCGTTGTGGAGGGAGGAATAGATCATGCTTCCAGAATCATTTTTGGACTGCACTCAGAAAAACGAACTCCGGAGCACCAGGGAGGCACACGGTAACCCCTGTGCCTCACCCTGTCCTCACTGCTTAACTTCTACCTGCGACCTAGAATGTCACTTGAGGCTGGGACCACGTGCGCCCAAACGAATGCCCTCGGCCCAAGGGTATCCATTTCTGACACGAGAAATGGCAACTTTAGTGCCACGCTGGTCGTGGGGCTGAGTCTCCCCAGAACCAGTCCGGTCCTTGCACCCCATCGGGACATTTCAGCTGGCCGGGTTGGGACAGGCAGGCGCCCCGGGGAGGGTCTAGGGCCCAGCCAGCTGCCGAGCTGGTCTGAGAGAGGGGGCGAGGTGCCCGGGAGCCGCGCGTCCCAGGGTGGCTGACACCGTGCGGGGGCGGTCCTGGGAGCCGGGGGCCGCCGAGGAGACCCACGTGCCGGGAGGAGCCGGCGGGGCCACGTGACGCGCCGCGGCGGGGCCGCAGCCCAGAAATAGCCTCGGCGGCAGTTCCGCCCGCGGGCGGCGCGAGCGAGAGCCCAGACAGGAGGACGCCGGCTGGCGGGCGGCGCGGAGGATGCCTGTGCGCCCCGGCCCGGCCCGGCCCCGAGCACATGATGGCGATACGCGAGCTCAAAGTGTGCCTTCTCGGGGTGAGTGCCGGCTGCGGGAGACCCTCGGCCCCGCACCCCCAGTTCTGTGCGGTGCCCCAGTCCCCGGTTCCCCTGTCCGCGAGCCCCTCGGGCCCGCCCCCTCGTCCTTGCGCCCTTCGTCCCGCGCGGCCGGGACCCCCACCTCGTTCCCCGTCCCCCTCGACCCCCGTGCCCCGCTAGTCGCCGGGGTCTCCCTCACCCCGCGCCCCTCGGGCCCGTCCCTCTGCCCGGGGTCCGGTTCGGAGCCTGCTCCCGGCTCCCTGGTGTCGCTCCATCTCCGCCCTCGCCGACCCCGGCCCCGCTCCGGCGTGGCCCGCGACCGCGGTGGGGGACTGGGAGGGTGGCAGTCCCCCCGCCTCCGAGGGCTTCTCCTCCTCCTCTGATAATTTCCTTCCGGCGGAAAGTTTAAGTTGCTCAGCCGGGACGCCCAGTCCTCATTTGCCTCCAAGGGGCAATTGGTTTATATGCTAAAAACAAAAACAAAAACAACCACCACCCCAACCTCACCCCTTCTCAACCAAGGACGAGAAGACCGAGGGGGATGGCCGGGTTGGAACGTGACGGGGCGCGGCACGGTGGAGCTGCGCGCCCCGTAAACTTTCTTCGCCGCGGATCCGGAGAGGCAAGGGGAGAACGTCCTCCCGCTGCTCCCCAACTGGGTCTTTCTCGGCCGGTAGGAACTGTCACCCCGCCAACCCTCCCGACTGGCGGATGACACAGGGCAGCCCCTTGGAAGCTGCCCCTGGGCGTCTGGATCATTTTTAGGGTCCTTTCCTTTTGAGTGCCCACGTTCATATTCCGGAATTACTTTTTTTAGAAGAAGAGCTGATTTCAAACGCGTTTCCAGCAGCCTTTGGCACCGACGCCTGGCTGATGGCCCCTGCGGTTGGCAAAGCTAGCCTCCCGAGAAAACCATTTACTAAAAAAAGAGCAGCCTTTGAAAGGGTAGCGCCATTCTTGCACTAACTGGTCGGTCAAGATGGATGTACAAGAGGTGTACAAAGAGGAAATGATTCTAGGCAGGATTGAATTGTACCAGAGGGCGGGCTTGTCCAGGCTTCACCTGGGCTCTCCTGCATCCTTGGGCTGAAGACTGTCTTCTCCCATCACTGTCTCCCATCACTGGCCTCTGCCAAAACACTAACTAGATTGTCCAGTTGGCCTGGAATTTCAGGGCATCTGGCAAAGGCCATCCCTTCCCCCGGAGCCACGCTCCCCACCTCTTTCCACTTGCCTAGCCTAGCTGGGATCTGGGTGGGTCGCTGTTCTGGTCTTTCTGGTGACCTTTTTGTGTTGCGGGAGTGGGTTTTGCTCTTGGCCAGGCTCTCTAATATAATCCAGACGTAAATTCCAGGAATCCCATGGTTCCTTCTGGGGAGCCATTTCAGTCTTATGAAAGGCCTTCAAGGACTTGGAAGGAATGTTATGTCCCAAGGAATCAAGAGGAAATTTTGACATGGGGAAAAATGAAGTAGGATATATTTTTGCCTTTTTTAACACTTTCTCTCTTGTCATCTTCTTAGGTGGCACAAGCCCTGCCTCATCACATGACTCTTTAAGATTTTCAGTTTCAATATTTAGGGGCAAGTCTCTATATCCTCTGATTAGGACACTGATCAAGTGGCCAGAGCCTTGATCAGTGGAGGAGGCTGGACACCTGGGCTCTCATCCTTTCCTAGAAACTAGCCGTGAAGTTTTAGACAGGTAACTCAGTCATGTCATCTATGAAATGGGCACAATAACAGCTTCCCTCCTAAGGCAGAAGACTATGCCAGATGGTCTTTTAAGATACATGGTACCATTCTGGGAGACAACATCTCTTAACATCTTTCTCTCTCCTCTCCAGGAATGAAACATTCTTCTGGAAGGGCCTCCTACAGTCAGTGTCTCACCTTCCTTTGCTGGTTCTTTGTCACGGGTTTGTTGGTAGGAATTTGAAAAGTTTTAGTCATACTGAAATCAGAGGATATCTTACATGAAAGGGCAAAAGACCTTAGCATCCACACTGAGTAAAATTTTTTAAGTTCCCTGGTTTGGCCAGTCCTTGTCCTGGGCAAGATGTGTGCGGCAGGCTGTATTGTTCGGCTTCTGGTTCAAATGGACTAGTTCTCTGGGAGGATGACACATGAGGAAGGTCAAAGCTGTTTTAACAGCCTTGGGTTTACTCTTTTGACTGGAGAGAACCTGTGGGTCAGAAAATGGAAGAAGGTGTCTCTGCTGAATCCAAAAGTCCTTTCAGAATATTAACAGGAACCCCAGGCTCCTTTGTTCTTTGGTTTAGGAAGGTCATTTCTGGGTGTAGTCTGGCATGTGGCTGGCACTCAGCTTCCTGTTTTTTTAGCCATGCCACACCTCCCTGAAGTCTCAGGATGATGAAGACCCCGACTTCCAATTGCCGCTATTGGGGGCTCTGTCCACTGGATTCCCCTTAGGCTATGATAAAGAATGTGGCCACTGTAACCAGAGTCTTTTTGTGCCCGGTGGTGTGCCTGGCTTTGATTAGTTGGGGACATGCTTCTCGTTTAGGGCACAGATTGTTTTAGGCTTGGATAGTACAAACTTCTGTCCCAGGCTTCTAACTGGTGACTCTTTGATGTAGTCTCTTGTTCCCTCCATGGGGTGGGAGGTTCCTATTTCCTGATACTAGGGTCATTTGCAGCAGGTGGGGGTGCGCCAGCTGGCATGTCTTTATCTGATGCTTCTCCTGTTTTCTCTACATGTTGGGCATGTCTGATGTTGTTTCTTTTGGTGAATACTCCCAAATGGGATGGACAATGGCCTGTGGAACATTTTCTGAATGCATTGTGCTCTTGGAAAACTAAGGACTTGAGAACGTTAAGTGTATTTAGGTTACCTGTTATAAATTCTTGGCTCACATTCACATGTAGACTTTCTCATGTTCATTCCATATGACAACAGCCCAGCAAGCTCTTGTGAATGCCCTTTCCTGGCATAAGCTAGGCCATCTGTAAAAGTGGGCCATGCAGGAAGGTGTGTATAATGGGGGCAAGCACCTTGGGTAGAGGGTCTTGGACTCCTAGAACTCCATGAGTGTCATTCTTGCCATTAAAGTGCTAATAATTCCACTTTGTAACCCGAGCTAGTATTATGAAACATGGAGCTTAAAGACAACACCCTTAAAAACAGCAAAGTATGTTAAAAAAAAAAAAAAACTAACAAAAACAATGTTGAGGCAGCAGTTGTTTCAACCCCAAAGGTGGAAAGTTTCCCAGTATGCATTTTTAACACACATCACCACGTGGCAAAAAGCAGGAGAGAAAGGGAGGAGGATGAGGAGCAGGAGGGCTTTATTTTGTTATTTCCTCTGGGTATGTGTGTGCCTGCATTTAAAAACTGCTTCCTGATGGAATCCCAGAGAGATTTATATTTGGACTTTGGTTGTCTTGACAACAATTTAGAAATTTCGACCACTTCCTCCATATCTGGGTGAGCTGTTAAAAGACAACTGAGGCTTCACTGCTTCTGGTAAGGAGCTTGTTGAAACAACTTTGGCCTTTGTGAGAGTGTAGTGACTTGCCAAAGAGCAGCCAAAGACCTGGGATTCCGTGTGACGTCTGAGTAATGGGGACTTTATGTGTCCACGACCTTCACGTGGAAGGGTTCTGTGATACCTGAGGGTACTAGAATCTAAGAGAGGAAGTTCTGCTGGGAAGGCACAGCAGTCCCAGCATAGCCAGCTGGGGGAGGCAGCTGTCACGTTTGTTTTCCGAGTCTGAGACCTCTCTGTGGAAAGTATGGTTCAGCATTGGTGACTCCAGGTAGCTTCTCTGTTGCATGAGAATAAATATAAATGATATAGTGGGTGTCTCCCCCGCAGTGCCTGACGTGTGGTAGCACTGTGCCCTGTGCTCCCAGGCCAGGGTGCTGCCACCCATTAGGGTCCTTTGTTCTTCTCTTGCTCAGGGTCAGCATTGCTGCATTCCTCCCTTAGCTTTCAGAGCCCCGGGCAACTCTGGTGTGTGTGTCAGAGTCATTTGTGGAGCATTTTCAAACTTCTCATAATCCCTTCCCCCACCTTATGTTTCTTAATTTGAGCTGTTGTAACACAGATACCACAAATGGAGTGAGTTAAACAATAGACACGTAATTCTCAAAGTTCTAGAGCAGAGGTCCTCAAACTTTTTAAACAGGGAGCCAGTTCACTGTCCCTCAGATGGGCCCCAGGACGAGTTGGCTGCTAAGCAGGACAGATAGTGGTAGCAAAATCACTCAGCGAGCCAGATAAATGTCCTAGGTGGGCTACATGTGGCCCATGGGCCGTAGTTTGCGGATGCCTGTTCTAGAGGCTGGGGAATCTAAGGCCAAGGGTGGCAGATCGAGGGGCTGGTGAAGACTCACTTTTTTTTTTGTTTAATTGAGATAAAGTCTTTGTCACCCTCAGTAGAGTGCTGTGGCGTCACAGTTCACAGCAACCTCAAACTCTTGGGCTTAAGTGATTTTCTTGCTTCAGCCTCCCTACTAGTTGGGACTATAGGCACCTACCACAATACCTAGCTATTTTTTTTAGTTGTTGTTGTTTGTTTAGTAGGCCTGGGCTGGGTTCAAACCCACCAGCCCTAGTGTATATGGCCAGTACCCTAACCACAGAGCTATGGGCACCCCCTTTTAAAAAATTTTTTTTAAATTTATTTTTATTTTTTTTAAGACTCACTTTTTGGTTTGCAGATAGCTGCCTGCCTGCTGTGTCCTCATTGCAGAGGGAGCACTCTGGTTTCTTTGTCGTTTTATAGGGACACCAGTCCCATTCATGAGGACTCTGTACTCATAACCTCATCACCTTCCAAAGTCCCCACCTTCTGATATCCTCTCATTGGAGATTAGGCTTCCACATAGAAAGTTTCCACATAGGAATTTGGGTGGAACACAGCACTATCGCAGGTCTGCTGTCCCCAGGTGCGTGGCCCTTACCTTCGTTCTGGTCTGATGTTACTGTTATAGTGAGTGCGTTATATCCCTTAGGTCTGCTCCAAGGCTAACGC